CCTTTTAAGAAAATTTAATCTTGTGAATCAATTGATCTAGTTTAGGTATTGATTTCATAAATTTTACAGGTTAATGTTTCTTTGCTTTTGCTCTTTTTTCCAGTTATTTATATTTGTATTTGATTTTGGATTAATATGTGGATGAAATATTGATTATTGAAAGTAATTGATCAACAATTAAGTCCTTCCATTGGTTTTTTTTTTTTTTTTTTTTTTTTTTCACTCCTTCTCTTCTTGTCGCAGCTTGGGTGTCTCATTCTGCCCCTCGATGTTCCCCACCCACATTGGGTTTAATTTGTTTCATGTAAAGAAGTCTTAGGTAAAGCTAGTTAAATGCACTTTTAGAGAAAAAATAACAATGAGTGGTTTTAACACTCCCCAGTTCTGCAGTGCCTTGGTCTACCTAACTGTAGCAGATCTCTGAAACAAAGTTTGATTTCCAAAACCTGATCTCCAACTTTGCAAATGAAAACTTCTCAGACTAGGGAAAATTTCTTCAGTTGACAAAATTCTTCACAGTAGTATCTTGCAAGGGGTCAAGGAGTATGATGACAGTATTTATAGGGTATGCATTTATTTCAGGTGTCAAGTTATAACTTGATTTTCAGATGTGTGTAGTAACAGTGCTAGAAGAAGTGGTTTCGTGACATCACCCTCTTGTTGAGGGAATAGAAGAACTTTATCAGTCCACAGAATCTCACATGTCTGGGGAGGACCTCAATATGGAAACATTTCAAACCTTATCAGAAATACAAGGAAGAAATGAGAACCCCAGTCTATTTAATCTTTTCCTACACTATACTCTGCATTTACAAGCATAGATGTGAAAAGATGGTCATTAGTCATTTAAGCATTCTATACCACATCCCAAATGAATCTACTAATAGAAGACCATACTTTCCTTCTTGAAGACAATGCTTTGAGGAGGTGGGGGCTATGCTGACAACATAGATATTCGTAGTTGGGATAAAAATGATCTTGAACAGAAAATCCTCTATCAAAAAGTAGGACTCCAGATAAACCTTTCCAAAACAGAAACTATGATGGCATGTATCCTGAATCCATCAGAAAAATTCAAGATGTGGATTTAAACACTAAACATTTTAAATATCTCAGTGTATGGATCAGTTATAAAAAAATTAGCATATGAGACAAGCAAAATGAACATTAAATAGGCTGCACTAAAAGTAGTTTTGCCCAACACCACAAACTACAAAGCTTAAACATTAACATAAGAACTCATGTTCTTAAATGGCCTCGTCAAATTGAAACTTTCATATGGATGTCATGCATCATGTCAAACCTGTTCAGAAATATCTAAACTGTCAGCTGTATACAACTGCTTTCTAAGATCAATGGTTAAAAATGGCTTTGAGCGAGTGAAGCCTATTGATCTTGGTGAAGACCATCCTTCTTTGATCCTTTAGTGCTACAGAATCACAAAAAAACTATCAAATAACAGAAACCATATCACTTGAGGACTTTCAACAGCAGCAACAACTAAAATGAATATCAAATATAACTTGAAGAGAAAATTATATAATCAAGATGTTGTTTCACACTATTTCAAACAAAGACATGAAAACTCCCATCAACAATAACAGCAACTAGGTTTGAGAAAACTATTTTCCTGCAAAATTGATTAGTTTATTTGTAATAATGTCTGTTCAGTCAATAAATGCTAAATGTTCCTTTCTAAGCAAATGTCTAATAATTCCATTACATTATTGAAAATTCCAAACAAGCAAATATTTTTTACAACTTTTTTTATCTTCTATATATTATTTTCAGTATATATGAAAATGCCAAATTATTATTTATGTCATTAAACTATTATAATTTAATATTTACAGTATGGACTTCTAGCACTTGCAAGCATAGCTTTATTGTTAAATTATAGAATTAAAAATTGAAGAGGTATTTTCCCCTTGAACTGTTGAAAATATATCGCTCTTATAAATATTATACTTGCTTTTTCATGCTCTAAGCATACTAACTTAGTGAAATAAATATCTACCTGTTCTTGTATTACAACATCATCAATGTTTTCTCAGTTGGAATTGTATATTTTGCTTCAATCATTTTTGTCATATATTATAATTGTTTTGATAAATCTTAATGAATTTATAGAAACTTTAAGAACGAAATCTGAAATAAATATGTCAAATAAACTTATAAAACAAGATTGATTCTTACCTGCAATTTAAGCAAAGTTACAGATTGTTTTGCTCAAACCAGAGGGTTTGACTGACATGAGATTAACTATTACAAGAGTTGACAATAGTTATGGGTCCCTTTTATCAAACAGTGGGACACATGGGATACAGTACATCATAAGGCAGGCCACAATACTAAAAGAAAAAAAGTAATATTTCATTAAAGATACTGCAGCCATTTTCACAAAAGACCATGTGCATAAGCATCTGCTTTAGAAATGGGGGAAAAGTCTATTGAACTCAAAACCACTGCCATCAAATTCATGAACCAACACTTTAATCTACTAGGGGCATTATCCCATAGGACAATTTGCTGTAGTGAACTTGGAGCCTTAAACTTAACCTATCTGCTGATTAATGCTAGGTCAGGCAGTGTGTACTTGGATTCTGTGGAAATTGACAAGCAATAACTGAGCAGTACTATAATTAAGAACTATATAACATCTCTTGATATAGGCAGTGGAACAAGAACAGTTTAACCCCATAGATTAAATAAAGGGTTTGGTTTAGTATTCCCTGTAGGTTACCCAGATCATTATGTACCTGAGGAAGGCCGAAGTGCACAATGGCCGAAACATTGTGAAAACAACAAAGATGAGGAAAATAATCCAAATATAAATAGTGTAAATATTGATAACTTCTCATCCCAGAAATTCAGACAGAAGTTATTTTCCTCATGAAATTAAGCATGCCATTCAGAAATCTAATCAGGCCACATAAGGCCTGTGAGCTGCAGTTTGCTCATGACTGTTCTACAAGGTGTTACCAAAGGTCTGATAATTTGAACAAACTACATGAACCAAATGTAGTATATCTACCCAAAGGAACAACTTTAAGGGATTTGCTTTCTCTTTCCTTGTTTTTTTTTTTTTTTTTTTTTTCCAGTTATATTTTATAGTCACTTTTCATAAACTTTTTGGTAGTACTTCTTTATATGATGATTCTTTTTGTAGCTACTTGATATGCTGGTAAATGTCAGATAAATTATATTCTATTGTTGGGTGGTGTTGACATTAAAATCAAGCTTGTTGAATTGAGCAATAAATTATTCTGTTTGCATTTCATTTTACCAGTTGTACTAAATATGGATTGCTTTTCTACTTACTGAAATGGACAAATTTGCAGTTTTGATATATAATGTGTGTGTATATATTGCCTGTCTATTTAATTAATGAGGATATAATGAAATTATCCTACTCCAATACTGAATCATTTTTATTATGCTTTATTTTTTCTAATTTAATTTTTTCTATATACCGAAGTCTGCAACTGTGAAACTATTACTTATGTATATTTTACAAGCAAGTGAAATCTACAAATCTGGTTGGAATAGTTAATCTTGTAATTTTAATGTGAAAAACTTGGTAATATGGATTTTACAAGTAGGTTAGAAATATTTTGGTGTCATCTTGTTTATACAAAATCAAATACTTCATTTTGGACTCCAGTTTATAGAAGAGATGAATGAAAGTAATATTTATGCTATTTACTGGTAATCAGAAAAAAATCATATTCTATGTTTTTCTCATTCAGGCTCAGGAATAATTGACATTAAGACCATCACTATCCTCCCTTTTTGTTCTTTGTTTTACAGTTTTTTTTTCTCTTAAGATTCCAGACAAGCAAATATTTATTCCAACTTTTCTTATCTTCTGTATGACTGCACATACAATATCTGTGCAAATGCCAAATCATTATTTGATTCAACTCTTGCAGATTTTAGTACTTGCTGGCATATCTTTGTTAATAGAGTTAAGGACTGAAAGAAATTTTGTGGAAAGATTAATATAAAGATTTCTTTTTTAATTGGAGTCACCTCAAGCAAGGCAGTAATGCCACTAAAACACAGGGTGTGGAAGAATTATGATCAGAAACATTAATGATGAGCAGAAAGACAAGAGAGTAATCAGGTGGACAGTAGATAGTGAGAAGTAGAAGAAATAAAATATTGCATTTAAATTTTTGTAGATTAAAGTTGCCTGGAAAGCATAGTCGGAAGTAAGTTCCACAAGCAAGAAGTGCAAGAAAAGAATCTGTTAGCATAGAATTTACAGCTACATCTAGCCAGCTCAACTGTAAATTGATGAGATCTTGACACCAGTCTAGTACTGTGCTTAAATTCATAAAGTCTAGGTACCATAGCAAGAGCTTATCTGAAAAATTACCATGAAAGTATTTATAGAAAAGATGCAAAGAGACAACCCTACAGCCATGGGAAAGCAACTGAAGCCAAGCCACCAGATCTAGACCAATAATATTTCTAATTCTTCTTTGCATCTTATCAAGGTGCTCAAGGTAAACAGCAGCAACTCAGGACAATATGTGGCAGCAATATTCTAAGCATGGGCAAATGGTAGACATAGATATGTAAGATAGATTCTAGAGAGAAAAACTGTCTCACCCGACATAGTGAACTGACTTTCTTAGCAGCTGACTTAGCAATGGATTCAATGTAGTCTTTCCACTTCATATCAGCAGAGAACATACCCAAGAAGGCACAATGAGTCACTTTTTTTTTTTTTTTTTTTTTTTTTTTTTTTTTTTTTTTTGAGGATAGCATCAGCCATGCTGATGGAAGGCAGCAAGGGGTCTCTCAGATAATTAATAGAGAGAAGTTTTGTTTTGGAGGCATTAAAATTAACAAGCCATCTTTTGCTCCAGTTAACTACAGACTTGAGGTCTTTTTGGACATCAGCTGCCATTTTGACCATGTCACTGATAAGCAGGCAGGAGTAAATTGTTGTGTTGTCAGCATAGATACCAAGTTGAGAGCTGATCTCATCAAATATGTCAGTAAGGAAAATGAAAAATAGAGTAGGACCAAGGATGGAGCCCTGGGGGGGGCACCTGTGTTAATAAAAAAGGATCTAGACAAGTGGCTGTTTAGGATGACTCTCATTTCATGATTTGATAGGAAAACCTGGATCAGTTCAAAAATCTTATGTTATGTAGACGATGCTGGAAAATTATCATTTGACTCAGAGACTTTAATTGGTTGAAGGTGGATGTAATGAGTTGTCCTGCTCTGATGATGGTAGTAAGAAGGACCTGGATCAATTGCAGAGTAGTGAGGCTGTAAGTGGGCAAAGAATTGAGAAAGCCAAATTTGGAGGAGATTGGGAAGTGATTAATTGTGATTTATAGATCATTGAACAGTTATTTTAATTACTTTGGAAATGGTCATGCAGGAATAGCCAGCAAATTTCCCAGGAAATAGATAATGGATAACATTAATTGGCAAAAGGTTTCTATTTATCAATCTGCTATCTGATCCTTATCAGCCCCGGAAAATGATTAATAGCATAAGATTTCAACATATTCACTGATCTATGCAGACTAGATGTGACAGTTGAAAGTGATACATTGTGTTAATCTTCAACAAACACCTCAAAGCACTAGTTTTGTCTCTTATGAACAGTTTTCATTGTGAAACTACTCAATTCAAATCTCACCTCTAAAAACAAATGCCCAATTTGGCACAAAATGACCTGTGGGGTTGGTGTGCCAGTAAAATAACCTATCTAATTCTAAAACATTTCATTTTTGTCTCTTTTTTTTTTTTTTTTTTTTTTTTGGATTAGTTTTAATTTTTCCTTCTTGAAGTTATATTTATTCAGCCAATTACATTTTGTAATTATAGAATAAAATACCATCAAGAATAGTATCTACTCTTTTTTCCAGTACTTCCTCTTGTTGCTAAACAAATTATTTGGTAATCACTTGTTAACTGATACTTCTAAAAATCATAGCACAATCAACAAGAAATCTTCTAAAATCTACAGCGCAATCAACAAGAATGCACAATAGCCAGTACATGCCCATGACATATAAAAGGTTACACACACACAGCTAAAGTCAGTTTATTTATTTTTAGAACAAAGTAAATCAAGATTTTGTAAAGGTTGAAGTTAACATTCAGTCACTGGTGAAAAATGGGTCGCATTCCACTGGATTTTTAAAATTATTTGTTTTTTTTTTCTATTGTTTGTTTACACACACATACACCAAATATATTTTAATAAAATAAGTTGCTATCATGCCATTTCATGATATTCTAAATGAAGATTTTTTACCTCTGTTTTTTTTATTTTCAGTGGACTTGGTTATATTGTTGGGTCAAATGTTAAAAATGCTACTGGTGTCTGGCAATATGCCCTGCGGGTGAGTTTTTTATTTTTATTTTTTTCTCTATTTATAAACTTTGTCGACATCTTCAGTGGTCTAGTCTGGTAAACCATAAAACTTTTTTTTATACAAACTACATTCTAAAGTATGAAGTTGGTCTGAAAAGTTCAATCTAGAAACCCTTCTAAAAGAAAATTGGTCAGTGAGCAAAGCTTTTCAGCACTCACTTCATAATATACTTTAAGATATTCATTTTCAGGTGTGAACTAATATTCTGTTTTTCTTTCTTTATATGAACTTTTTAGATCATTTAACCTTCTTGTCTCTCTCACACATATATAGGAAATAAGATATTTTTTGATAGTTATAAAATAATTAATAAAATCTGACAATTCCTCTTTTTATTTGAAGAGAATATGCACATTGTTAGTTAAATTATAACTAGTGTAATATAATCTTTTTCATTCAAAAACATTTTTACAGATGAAAAGTAAATTTTTGTAGATTTAAAAAAAAAAAAAAAGAAAAAAAACAAAGCATTTTCTTTATTACTTATAGAAGTTTTTTTTTTTTTATAATAATAATAATGATAATGCCTTTAAGAGAAACTTGAGTTACAGAGGTAATATTTTTATAGATCTCTCAACACAGTTGTAGATGACATTTGAGATAAGCCATTGTGAACTCCATGATCTTGTCAATAGCTACATAATATATACTACACCAAGGTCAAATATGATTTTTGAATGCAGGGTTGTCCTTTTCCTAGACTCGTTGCTATCCCTGGCTAAAGTACCCAGTCTGCCCTACTATTTAACATATAGCTGGGTGAGAAGAAATTGATTTATACATTTCCCAAGGGTATTTGTGCAAAAGTGAATGCAATGAATTTGACTGGAATTCTCTCAGCTCTCTGATATTTTATTTCCAAGTCACTATTAAGTACACCACCCACACATCCATAATAAATATATATAATGTATATGTGTGAAAATGATCTTAATAAATTACCAATTATTTAAGAATATTTTTCATGTACTGAAACTTAAACTGAAGATAATTTTTTTGATTTTTGGTAGTTTTAAAATTTAAAATTTTCTGATGTGAACTAATGGCTGTATTCATCAGTGTATAATATGCACCCTTTACAATGCTGTTTGGAGGACTACAGCTCAAACAATATCAACAAATCTCACTAGCTGTCTATGTCAGAATTTGTTATATCAAATGCAATTTGTGTTTGTTTGAATTTGGTTTTTTTTTTTTTTTTTTTTTTTTTTTTTTCATATAATTTAATGTGCATGATATGCACTGATAATATAGTACTTTTTTCTTTCTTTTTTCTCTGCAAGTAAACCAAAAAATAATTGGCGGTATGTGTTAAAAAGAAAGTGTAACAAGTTTTTATTGAAAATAAATTAACTTTAATTAATAAACATAAGGGAGCCCAGCAGCACAATTTTGTCAAATTGTGGGTCACATTAACAAAAAATTTCTGCAATCCAATTCAGTAACGTTCTGGGTAAGACGATAAACTACATCCAACAGCAAGGCCTCTGATCAGGAGGTTTTGAGGAAGTGTGGAACCACCTCTTAATTGCTGGTGTTCCCAGGTCCACCCTGACCCTAGGGTGGTAGCACCTGTTAGGATCCCAGCTATGGGCAAATAGTGAACTCCCAGTTTTTCCCATCATATATCCATGTCCCTGGGTATGGCGATAAACTACATCCATGTCCCTGGGTATGGCGATAAATTATGTCCAAAAATAATGTTGCTAGCTATACGATTTTGAAAAAAAAATAATGTTGCTAGCTATATGTTTACTAGTACTATATAATATATATATATTAAACTAAATTTGGCATTAAATGTCCTACAGTGGTTGATATGCCATAAAAACCAACCAACCAACCAATTCAGTAACTGTATTTAAGCAACTTAAGACTATATCTGGCAGATTCTCATCATTTCTTATTCTCACTTCAAATCTTACTGAATTTTATGTTAGAAAAAGGTTTTCTCTTTTGGATTCAGCATTATAAGAATAAAGTGTCAAAAATTTAAGAGAAATTACATTCTTGTCACTAATAAATCCAAATGCCTAATTGCTCTGACATTTTCAATATGTTTTGCTTTTTATTTTTTTAAAAAAAAAACAAACAAAAAAAAAAACTTCATAATTCTTTAAGATGTTCTTTAAAAATATCAGAATTTATTGTATTTGAAACAATTTATAAACATTTTCTATTTCTAAGGAAGTGACAAGTCATATTCTTGTTTTAAACATTTGCTCAGGTTCCATTTCTGGAGTAAACTAAAGCTCTCTGCATATTAAATGGACATTCATCTATAAAATGACATTATTGCAATCCTGAATAAGAGAATTGTTGAACCAAAGCAAATATTCTTTCTTCAATTTTATATGGATCATTCATTTCTTTGTGATTCACAATTAAATTTTTTTACGGTCATTAAACTTTGTAATGCCTTGTTAATGATGCTGAAATGCTAAAATTTTCACAATCTTTTCATTTTGATTTAATTTTTTTTTCAATGTCAAATGACTGTTCTTCAACTAGTGTTTTAATTGAATTCAGTAATTCTTGAGTTAGTTTGGTTCTTTTACTAATGTCTTTTGTAAGCTTTTTTGTTTTGAAACTCTTTACATGCCTTGATTTTCTAATTTGAGGGCTACATTATTTATTTGACCAAATTCTTTCATTATAAGCATAATTAAACTCCTTTTGTTTTCCTAATTGTTTGCTATTTAGAAATATTAGTCTTTTCAATTGTCTTAGAAAATTGTGGATGGTAAGTTGACAAAATTGTTTCAGTTTGTAGTTTACTATTTGGTTCCATGTAAGTATCTGTTTTATACACAACCTGATCAATATGTTTTCACACACAGCCTCTGTCTTGATTCTGACCACCTTCCTAATTTCTTAACTTCTATTGACCACTGTAGCTAGTCCGTGATTTTTATATACATTTTCATTGTCAATGCCATATAGTCCTTATATATAATTAAGTCACATGATTAGATTGGTCAAGCTACACTGCTAAATATAATGCACTATTTTTATGCCTAAATACATGTTCTTTAAAGTAAGGAGGCTTAGACATAAAATAGTGGGAATTTGTGCTGTTAGTGTGTTTTTTTAAATCTAATAACTGTAGATGAAAATAAAAATAACTGATTTACTCTATCTTTCAAGACAAAATTTTTCCATTCAAAGAAAGTAATATATCATGAAATGTATTTTTGCAAATTGTTTTTGTTTTTTTAATCTTTTTATTTAGGTGACTCCTGCATTTGGATTATTATGCACCATCCTTATTCTAGTTGTTGTCAAAGACCCACCTCGTGGATTTTCAGAGGGCGGAACTCATCTCAGAAACACAAGTTATGTAACTGATATAAAAGTTTTATTAAAAAAGTAAGTGAATACAGTTTTTCATCAAAATTCAATTAACATATTCGAGTATATTTATGGCTACTTTTATTTAACTCTGTCATTTGTCTTGACTAGTTGTTTTATATTCATACCAAAAGCATAATAAAAGTCATTTTCAGCACACACAATTCAAGTGCTTATTTTTTGTTGAAAATAATGGTTTAAAGTATGTTAAATAATATAACAAATATTTAATTCTTAGTGATTGTCATTTCTGTATGTGGAGAAATTGGCCATAGTCAAGTGTAACTGGAAAATTTCTCAATAGAACTGACAAAGATCACAATAAGAAAAGGAAGGAAAAGAACAAGGTAAAATAATATTAAGCAAACAACATATCAGTCAAAACCAGGCAAAGCAACAGTAATAAAGCAAAGAGTTCACAAAGTAAGAATTGTGTTCACATGCAAATACAGTCAGGTGCTTACAGCATTCTGATTTAAAGACATCCAAAAAAAAAAGAAAATGGCAAATGAGACCCATTTATTGGTCAGGAAGAAATCCCAACATGCATCTATAGGATTTTATCTATAAGTTTGGGGAGGAAATATTCTTAGTTATTCTAAGGAAATTGGAACTAACCCTGTATCATCCTCATAAGATTGCCTGGAGATTCTTTTTCTTCAATTATCTGTATTATTTAATTTTATCAGATTCTTTGTTTTGTTAGAAGTCTTCATAGGACATTTGCTATATAAATGTCATTAAATTTGTTCTTGGCATAGCATTTTCTGTTCCTTGTTTACACAGTGTGTGAGTGAGAGAGAGGGAGAGACAGTTTGATTAAATAGAATGAGAATGAATATGAGTAAGCCATTTTCATTAAATTTAATGTATTTTTAAGAACCTTTTTATACTATTTGAGAATAAGTTTTATATAATATATATATATATATATATAGTATTATTTTTATTATATATATATAGTATTGAGTGTAGATCATCAATGTTTGTTGGCCTCATTATAATCTTTAACAAAATATACTATTGGTATTACTTAGATGCTAAAATGATTCTTTTACTCTAAAATATATAATTTTTAAAAATCTCTGTGCATGAAATTAAAAAAAAAAACACATTTTGGTATTTTAATATTAATTGTAATAATTCTACAAAAATAAACATTTATTTGAAAAACATTTTTTCAGACATGTAAGAAAAAGATTAAGGATAAAGTCTTTGATTTGTTTTCTGTTTATTGGCCCTTTTCCATTTTCTTATGTTTTATTGCCTGGTTATCAATTCACTTATGGTAGAGATAGGAATAGTTGTTGTAGGATCAGAAAGTAGAAATGTTTATTTCACTCATTGAGGCTAAGAATGTGGATAAAGGTATCTTCCTTTAAAGTCAGGAACATTGAGTGTGCATGTGTCAAACCTAATTAGTCTGTTTATGTATCTCTCTGTGAATTTTTAGTTTAATTTATTGTACATTTATGATGGAATGATATATTTCCTCAACACTGCCCAATTCGCACTCCTCACCCCAACCCTCCAGTCTATGAGTTAAGGCTGCCACTTTCTTTGATTTTTCACTGACTTGGGATAAATTTAATTTGCCTTTTTTTTCAATTAACACATTATATTGTACAGAATAAATTATTTAAAATGGACAATTGAAAACAATAAATTGAAATAAAAACCTCTTCTTTGAAAAACAAGGCATACAAGTCATTAGAGATTTTTAAAAAATTATTTATAAAATTAAAGCAAGAAATACATTGCCTATTAAGTATGTCTCCAGCTTGATAGAGCTTAGATCTATGCAGTCTGCCTAGGCACGTTATTTTTATTGCATTCTTTTTTACTTACTTTCTTTCTTGTTTTTTTTTTTTCTTCTTTCTTATGAACAATATCAACAAAATGTATTTCAGTCAATATTTTGAGGCACAGAGTTAAAACAATTTTGGATCCAGCTGAAGTCAAGAATGAAAATGATGCACTGTGGAAGATTTTTGTTGCTTTGAAATAGATATAATTGAATGTTGACTTGGGCTGAGCTTAACTAGCCTGATCCCAAGAGTCGCCACTATATATATAGTGAAAGAGCTCACTTTCATATTAAACTTAGTTTTCCTATTCAACCCTGAAAAGTATTCATTAGGATTTTTTTTTTTTTTTATTACTTAAGAAAAGAAGTCAAGAAGAAAAAATTAAAAAAATTACTGCAGCCAATTAATACAAAAAGATATTAATAAACTTCTAGATAATTTCAAAATATTGTATATTATTGTGTTGCATCCACTATTTTCAATCGCAGCATTAAGACAAGCTTGAAAAACTGCACAACTTCAACCATAAAATCTTTGAACATCTTCACCCACTCCTTCTTGATAGCAGCCTTGAGAGTATTGGTGATGTTTGTTGGTAGTCTGCTCCAAAACCCATCACACAGTGTAGTCTCGTGGTTTCAGGCCCAAACACATCATGCAGTGTAGTCTTGTGGTTTTAGGTCCAAACCCATTACACAGTGTAGTCTGGGCCAGTGAAGGGTAAGAATCTGATGGTCATAAAGTGGCAAAGTTAGCGATGCAGAAGTTCTACACCTTGTTTGTGTGGCTGAGAGCACTGAACTGGCTCTACACATAATTTCACTCAGGGTAGTTGAATTCAAGCCTTGGCAAATCATGGCATCTCATGACCATATAGTAGGCATAAGCACCCTTTTTTTTTTCTTGGCTTCTGGAAGAATGTAGACATTTTTTTTTTCATGAGATGTCAAAACATCCATGGTCATTTTGGTGGTTCAAAACATCATCCACTGAAAGTTTTCTCAGAGTAGATTTTAACAGTGACCCCATGATACCTGAGCACATTCTTACACCTTTCCACCCTCCTGGCTTTCATGAACTCTGTGAGGATCTGTATTGGTCTCCAGGTGTATGATTTAAAGCCTAAGTCATCATACATAGACTTTTTGACAGTCTTGCATCCACCTTTAGCTTTGCAGCTATATTATGCATGGATGAGGTTGGGTCCTTTGTAATTTATGTTTTTAATACATATTAATGAATTCCCAAGTCTGCTTATTGTTACAACTGCCACTTCCCAACTTCCATTAGGTGCTGTTCTCCATATCTGTAGTCTTCTTGACATTGTTTATAGTGCATAAAGGCACACCAACTACATTGAGGATGCTTTTAGATTTAATTTGTACACAAAGAAAGTATGACACACATTGTCCTTCTATGAAGTTATTTTCTATGATATTCCTGAAAAAAATAAGTGGGGGGGGATGATTAATAGTTAACAGTATACAGTATATATTCACATTATTTAGTGAAGTGGTTGATGGGGAAAGTTTAGTTTAAATTTTACTGCAAGTTTTACTTTCCTATTGTGCTAAATATCAGTTTCACTTTAATCCTGAATATTTTGTTCTTTGTTAATTATGAGTAGTATTCAGTTCATCTGTGTTTAATGGGGAATTTTTCTATTATAGTATAGCATAATTTTGATAGATTATTTTTTTTAATAAAAATTCATACTTTTTCGTAATGTTAATGGCACTATTATGGAAAGTGTTAAAAAACATTTTTATAATTGTAGAATGTATCTTGATATTTTTTTCTTTCAGCAAAAGTTTTCTTTTATCTTCTGTTGGTTTCACATGTGTGGCCTTTGTCACTGGAGCCCTTGCTTTGTGGGCACCAATTTTCATGTTGGATGCTATTCGAACAAAAGATGTTAATGCTGATGAAGCCGCGTAAGTAATTTCCTTAAAGTGATACTATCATACATCTCTTGTTTTCTTTAAAGAGAAATCAGTGATTTAAGTTAATAAAAAGAAAGCTTTGTTCAACTATATATTTCATTAGCCAAGTACAATGCCATTTTTTTTTTTTTTTTTTCTCCTTTTTCTTGAAAATAAATAAAGCATGTAATAAGTTTAACTTGGTCTGGTATATGGCCACAAGTATGAGGCAGGCAGTGGGAATCAGATTCCTACTAAATTAATTTGAAACTAGCGTAATGACAACTCCATTGTAAGGCACTGTAATGATTTTCGTAAAGGACAAAGTTACTAATGTGAGACATCCAATGAGAATCAAATTTTCTGTAAGAGTAGTGTGCAGAAGAAATCCACTTACCTTTAAAAAAAAAAAAAATCCGAGTGTGTGTGCCTGTTGATACCATTGTTTCTATGAAACAAAGAAAAACCAGGGCAGACTCATTCCATCATTTATAACAGAAAATGCTTGATGGAATAGCCTAGATGTTACCCAACCTACCTTTGTTTTGTGATGTCAATGAACACTAGTTGCCACTTTTGTGATGTCAATGAACACTAGTTGCCACTTTTGTGATGCCAACGAATACTCATTGTCACTTTCGTAATACTTGTTGTACTCGCAGATACAACTATAGTACGCCATATACTGGTGTCAGATGTCTTTGAATAATCTTGCACTAATAGTACTTGCTCGATAATACTCGCTCGACAAATAACCCATATAGTGATCCGAATAGAGGAAGAGTGTAGTAAATAGAGTAGAGAATAGTGGTCAATGTAGTAATAGAGGATAGACTAGGAATAACTATCAATTGGACATCATGTCACTTCCTACTTATGTGTTTCCTCTATGGTCACATGATCTATTTAATTTAATAATGGAATCCATTGTGTTTGCTCACTGGCGATCTATGTTCAAACTAAAGTGTTGCCAGCGACACTTTATTCCTATATAACACTTTGAATACACATAGTGGCAATAAACAAGTGGCAAGGCAAAGAAAGCTGATCGTGGGAAGAGTGGATTTGCAACTATTTGGACATGGGGTTCTGTGAATTTGTGACAGTTCACTATTATTACTACAATTAGTTTGTTATACTACTGCACTCATACTGGGGAAATAAAACTGTTTTGATAGGTAATGTCTGTACTTTTTTGGTTTAATACTATCTCTGTTTCATAATAATTCTTATATGAAATGTGCAAGCTATTCTGGGACAAAGGTAGTATTTAATACAATTGTTTGTACATTTTATTTAAGATTCTGTATATTGCTATTAAGTTGCCTACAAATGATTCTCTCCATTATATAACATGGATACTTAATACACAAATGACAAATGGATTGAGTTAAATGATAAAGCAGGCTTCTAAACTAATGTCACTTTCAATATTGAGGCATGGTGGAGTAATGGATAGCTGCTTGGATTGAGGAATCAGAGAACCAAGTTCAAATTCCAGTCAATTCCATTACATTCACTTACATGCTAATACCCTTGGAAAAGGTATGAATCCTCTTCTCTCCCCAGCTATGGGTAAATAGTAGGACAGACCAGGTTCTATAGCCTTGGATGGCAACTGGTCTACCACAGAAAAAATGTAAACCTACAGCAGGAAAAAATCTGCCTCATCGGTCATTTATTGAAAGATACATGATTGCCTAAGCGTGTATCACGCACGGCACATAACTGACTGGTATTTTATTTTAATATTAACCATACATTTGAGCTTTTGAGATTTTGTTTAACAGCTGTAGCTAAATCAGTTTCTGTGATATAACTCTTCACTTTTATACATAGAGATAGCATAGCATTTTATTAGTTTTTCTGCTTATTTTTTTTCTACCTTGATTACTGTTTACTCTGTTGGCTTGCAAGAGTTACAACATGGTTACAATAACTTGCAATTTTTAATCTTAGTGCCTGCAAAAATAGTGCATCAAAAGGACAGTTTTTCCTTTGACACCACTATTATTTTAACTACCTTCACTCCTCAGCAATGTTTGTTTTAAAATGTAATGATTAAAATTGTAAAACATGATGTAAGGGAATTTATTCATTTTGTTGGTTAATTTGTAACAAAATTATTAAACACTATTAGATTTTTTTATTTATAAGAATTTTATATTTACAACATTCTAAAAACTAATACAATTGTATTAAAACTAATGCGATGCAATATTTATCATTTACCAATTTATAAAGAAATATAAAAACAATTTTTGTTGATAGAAACCAATTTTATTTCAGCAAAAATTGCTGCACTGTTTATAAAACCTTACAGGCACTAAAATATCTAAAGTTTCATATATTAATGATTTATTTTTCTTAAATGTTTTAATTATCTTTGTGCAGAGTGAGTCTTCGATTTGGTATCATTACGTGTATGGCGGGTTTTGTTGGTGTGGCTATTGGCTCAGAGTCTGCAAGGCGTTACAAAAAGATCAACCCAAGAGCTGATCCCCTTATCTGTGCAATGGGATTATTGTCATGCACGCCCTTTATCTTCTTTGCATTATTAATATCGCAATATCATATTATAATGACTTGGGTAAGTTATCAATTTTTGTTACTTGTATTTTTTTTTTATTTCTAAAATTTTCTGTTTGAATAGAGAAAAAAAAAAACTTTGTTAAACTTCATGAAAAAATGAGGAAAAGATTAATTATGTAAAAATAAAACTCTGGACTAATCAAAAAGATTTACTAAGATAATGTTTTCGGGTCAGTAATTATTGTAAAACAGAACATTTTTTTTTAACAATATTAGGAAGGTTGAGAAGATTTTTTTTTCTAGTATGTATATTTTAAAATGAAATATTTTCTCATTTCTACTAACATTGTTTGACTTGAAATAGAAAATAACCTTTATATATAAAGTTTGCAAACTTCTAACATTCATAAGTAAAACAAAAAATCATTCGTCCTTATCTTCCAAAATCTATTGCTTTTTTAAAAAATTCCTTTGATTGAGGTAATGAGTGCCATTGATTCATTTTAACTTGAACTTTGGATTATAAACTTCAATTCCAAGCCTTTATTTGCTGGAATTAATAAGATGCAAACCTGAAGTATTTTGCTAGATGTTTGACATTTAATCATTCCAGACATCCATTCAGATAAGCCAGTCTTTGCTAAGTTTGGATAAAGGTCAATATATTAAATTTTAGCCTTTTAATTATAGCAGAATCTCCTCTTTATTAATCAAGGAAATCCAAGACACTGATTAGTAGATTACAAGTAAATCAATTTATTAATATATCAGTTTATTCTCTTATATTTTTACAGGTACTTATATTTATTGGTGAAACCTTGCTGTGCCTTAACTGGGCAATTGTTGCTGATATTTTGTTGGTAAGTTTGATTCATGCCCTGTAATGAAATATCTTGTCAGCTCCTCCAGAATAATCATTGATTGCTTTCATTGCCTTCATCGCCATCTAGAATCACTATCCAATTTGCTGTAAGAAGACCCCAGATGAAGAAATGAGATAATACAGAATTTTATTTTTTTTATTTTGAATATGAATTATCAGTTAAGAAAGGTTAAAATATATAGAACACTTTTATGAATATATCTTTGTAAGAGATAATTAACAGAACAGTCTTGTTCACTCAAACTGATTAGGGCTCTTCTGACATTGCTGTATCATCATTACTTTTTTAGAAGTTATAAATATTTTTAATTTTTTTTCTTTAAGATCAACAAATTCTGCTTTAGCTTGAGCAATTTTTATTTTCTCTTTGCAAGATGATTTTTATGAAAATGGATTTTTTAGGATCATTTCTTTTGCTGAATGTTATTTCTGGCTCAATTTTTATCGCCTTTAAAAAAAATTTATTCAAAGTTTACATTACTGGTTTCCTATAGTAAAATATGAGTGCTTGAAAGAGCTCCTATTTTGTATTTGTATTTAAAGAATTTGAACATTGTCTCATGAAGAATTGTTTTTCAAATACTCAATTCTTACATGTTGGCCTTATACCAGGTATAATCACCAATCCATTCAAAGCTTATTCATAGGTTAGCAAGCAAATGAACCAGACATATTGGGCACTGATGAAATATTTTAGATTTTAATTTATATGCAAATGGTAAATAGTCTTTTTAATAAAAACAGTTAAATATCTGATAAAAATTCAGTACGTGAAAGTACAGATTCAATGTAAAGTACAACAGTAACAGTTCTTGCTTATAATGATTTGTTTATGATGATTATTTATTTTTAAATCTCTATAAAAAGAAAAAGAATTTTCTATAATAGTACATGATTTAATTTTATTTATTATTACAATATATATATATATATATATATATATATATATATATATATATATATATTGTAATAATATTATATATTATTATAATATATATATATATATTATATATATATATATATGAGTAATTTTAATTTATTTGTAACAAACAGTTATTTCTGATGAAAAATTGAGGACAATTTGAAATATCAAATATATATATATATATATATAAATACTTTCATAAAATAAAACATAATTTTCAATTTGAAACTTTTTCTATATATATTATATATATATATATAGGAAAAAAACCTTAAAAATTCATATTCAGTAATAAATTTATTTTGATGAATATAATGGGACTTATACTAAGTTGAAAACTTAATGTAATGGAAGGGAAAAATACAAATAACATCCCAGTCCTATCTCTCGGTAAATACGTCTTCTGGTGTCAGCTTGGACTTCTTGTCAGCTGCTGCCTTTTTTTTTTTTTTTTCTTGTTGTTGTCATTTGTGTTATATGTAATAGGAGTAGGTAGGTTTTCCTACTGTCAGGTCAATACTCCTCCCCCTTCTCTTGGACAAGAGTAGAGGCTCACACCTTGTTTCTGATTTAAGAAGGGGTTCCCGGAACTTGCCCTCTGTTTCTCTCTGGTCTATATACTAGTACTGCCATGTTTCTCCTGTGATGTGTGCAGTCCGTGGTAGTTAGGAGCCCTAACTCTTGTGTAGCATCTTGAGCAGATGCTCTGATCAACAGTTGCATAATATGGGGGTGTCTGTAGTACCATGTCACGCATGGAAAGGTGTTCCTGCATTCACCTCTGGTGGGCAACCCTGAGGCCACATTATGTTGCAGGCTGTGCCAACTTCTCTCTGCTCACCTCACAGTTGATAACTGTCTGTTTTTACTTCAGGCCTTCCCATTTTTACAACCACAATTTCACATAATAACTAATGATGATCCAAAAAGAAAACCTTAACCAGGCCTTAAAAAAAATCACCTTTAACATTTCATTTTCCAACATCCATGGTATTAGAACCAATTTCTGCAGTGTAAAATCTTTCCTTATTGCGAACTGCCTAGATATACTGGCCCTGTGTGAGACCAACCTTGATTCGTCTATCCCCTCCTCTGACCTCTTGATCCCCAGCTACATTCCCTTCCTTAGAAAACACTCTCAAATCCACATGCAAGGCCTTGGAGTTTACATCAAGGACCATCTCCTGCTGGCTAGAGAGTTGTCTCTTGAATCTCCAGACCATTCCTACATTTGTCTCCGGATATCTCTTCTCAATGCTGTAAGCTACCTCTTCTTCCTTTATTGCTCACCATCCTCCTAAGACTGTGATATAATTGAATGCATTTCTGACAGCATCGACAACGTTCTCTCTCGCCATCCATTTGCTCACATATTCGTGTTTGGTGATTTTAACACCCATCATACCAAGTGGCTCAAAAACGCTACTACTGACCTTGCAGGCATTCAAACTCTTAATTTTTCAATTTCTCAACCCCGCACGCAGATAGTTGACTTCCCCACACATTTTCCCTACAACCGGAACGGTAAGGTTCTTTTCTTGATCTGTTTTACCTCCATCCCCGAGTCCAGTAGTGCCACACAGCTCTGTCCTCTTGGCAATTCTGATCATGCTGTAGTGTCTATCAACATCTCCTTCAACTCCACCCTCTGCAAAGAACGTCCTACCACTAGAACCTCGTTCTGCTATCAACGAGCAGACTGGGACTCGTTCCGGGATTTCCTTTGTGATGTCCCCTGGGATGTTGTCTTTACGCTCCCCGTTCAAGAATGTGCTTCCATGGTCTCCTCCTGGGTTAAAGCTGGAATTGAGGCTTTCATCCCCTCAAGGAAATATAAAGTCAAATCGTGCTCCTCCCCTTGTTTCTCTGCTGCTTGCTCAGCTGCCATTGCCCATAGGAACCACTTCTTCTACCTATATCAAAGCGACATGTCTGACTGCAATAGACATCTCTTTGTCTCTGCCTGTAATGAGTGTAAGCATGTCCTCAATGAAGCAAAGTCTCTATTTGCTGCTCAAATGAAAGAACATATTGCATCTCACAAATTGGCTCCAAGAATTATTGGCATCTCTGCAAGAGTGTATTTAACAATAGCAAACCCTCTATACCTCCACCTTCAACCAGTTCTGACCTCTTCTGCCGACAAGGCTGAATGCTTGGAAATTCTCATTCAATTCAACACTCAAACTCTTCCGGTGTACCCACACCCGATTTCCCCCTTAGAACTGAGGCTCTATTGAGCGAACTGCACATGACCCCGCCATCAGTATTGGGCATTATCTCTAATTTAGACCCCCATAAGGCTAGTGGTGGAGATGGGATACCAGCCATTGTCCTGAAGAAATGTTTACCTGAACTGGCCCCTGCCCTCTCCTAATTATATTACTGCCTCAAAGAATCTTGTTTTCCAGACTGTTGGAAGTCCTCATCCATTGTTCCTGTCTTTAAGAACTCTGGTGACCCTTCTGACTACCATCCTATCAGTCTCCTACCCCTCTTCGACAAAGTCTTTGAAGCTTTAATCAACGCCGAAGTGGTTAAGCACCTTACATCCCATGATCTGCTCTCTGACAAGCAATATAGTTTCCGCTTTGCCCGTTCTACATCTGATGTGCTTATGACAATCACTGAAATTGTTTACCAAGCCCTTCATAATAACAGAGAAGCTCATGCCATGGCTCTAGATATCTCTAAAGCGTTTGATAGGGTTTGGCATGTTGGCCTTCTTCACAAGCTTCAGGGTTATGGAATTTCAGGTCAATTGTTTGACTTAATACAATCGTTCCTGTCAAACCATATATTGAAGGTCATTCTCAACAGATTCTCCTCCAGCTTCTATCCCACAAACGCAGGTGTTCCCCAAGGCTCCATCCTAGGCCCTACTCTGTTCCTTATCTTCATCAACGATCTTCCTGACATCATAGATTCCCAAGTAGGCATCTACGCAGACAATATTACAATTTACTCCTGCCTCAAAAACAAATCTAGTGTCGTTGACAAAACTAACCTGGCCATTCGTCTTGAAAAGGACTTCCAATCAGTTGTGAATTGGGGCAGGAATTGGCTAGTTAACTTTAATGCCTCAAAAACAAAACTGCTCTCTATTACTGATCACAGAGAACCATCCCTGCCCCCCATTAGAATTTCTGACGCTCAACTTCTCGAGAGCTCCCCTTTGTGACTATTCGGTCTCACATTAATGTAAGTCCCCTAAGAAAACTTTTCTAGGTCTATTTATTTTAACTATTGTTTCATCTTGTAATTTTTTTTTTTTTTCATTTCTTTCCTTTTTTATCTTTGTATATCTGTCTGTCTGGATATATTGATTCCATTTCAGAAAATGTAATCAGTCCGAGATGAATAGGCCTATATTCATCGAAATAAATTCATTACTGAATATGGATTTTTAAGGTTTTTTTTCCTAATTATTATTATAATTTGCTCTGTATCATACAATGAGCTCTCAAAATTTCTCTTTGGAATAATGTCTACCAATTACAATTTGGCATTTTATTTATATATATATATATATATATATATATATATATATATATATATATATATATATATATAATTTTATTTTTTTTTTTCTTCTTTTAGTATACTGTCATTCCCACTCGACGTTCACTTGCAGAGTCATTTCAGATTGTTCTTTCACATCTGTTTGGTGATGCTGGTAGTCCATACATTGTAGGCTTGGTAAGTACTTTCTTACATTCATTGTTTTCTCTGCACATTAATAATGACTAACTCACCACCAACTCTCAAGCCCCACAATGGATAGTGCCCATTTTGTTGCTACTACCATGGCAGGTAAGCTAATTATTAGATTGAATTGCTCATGTATTCACTTTACTCTTTTCTCTATAATTGTGACAAGACCCTAGTCAAGATGACTAGCAGCGGGGACAGCACAAGAACTGGAGAATTAATGCTTTTACTTTTCTTACATTAGAACAAATGATACAAACAAATTTCATAGGAATTTAGATTCAGTAGGATGATTATTTTATTTTTCTTAGAGAAATAATCTTGAGTAATATTAACAAAGAAATAACACTAACATAAAAATGATTTTTTTAATAGGTTTTATTTTTAGTAGATTAGTTTCTTGAATCTGGAAGTATCAAATTAATTTTTTTTTCTATTTTTCCTTTTTATGTGACAGAAATGGAATGAATATATTGTCAGAAGAGAAATCTTTGAAACATAAAACCCTGGAAGGATTTGTTATATTAAAATCTGAGGTTAGATGAACACTGGCCAAAATTAAAAAGGACAAAGCAGCAGGACCAGATGAAATGGCAATGGAGATGCTAACAGTGATAGACAATTTCAGGATTGACAAGATTACTGAAATGATGAAATATGATAGTGGTGAAATATTGGAGGACCACAGTAAATCAATTTTCATAGCACTGCTAAAGAAACCAGGAGCAAATGAATGCAAATTTCATTGGACACTCAGCTTGATGAACCACATAGCTAAAATAATCATTCGTATTCTAATGAATACAGCTTGTAATAGACAGAATTAGACCTGAAATACAGCATGAACAGTGTGGCTTTGTTCAATACATTACAACAAGAAATGATCAAAATGCTGTTAGTGATACAAATGCCAGAAGACCTATACCTATGTTTTATAGATTACACAAAAACATTTGATAGGGTATGACATAAAGAACTGCTTGAAATAGAAAATCTTGATTTATGCAGGAAAGATATTCAAGTAATCTATAACCTCTACTGGGAACAAATCTTGAATGCTGATAGAGAACAAGTTAAATGTATCTAAAAAAATAGAACAAAGTGTACAACAAAGATGCATTTTCTCACCAGATTTATTCAACATGTACAGCAACGCAATCCTAACAGGGCTGTGATTTGTTATTGGCTGACATCACCTTAACAACGCAAGATAAGAATATGGCACTATTAATGACAAATTCGGGATGGAAGCTGAAAGTTCTATTAGTCAATATAGTCGAGAAATACAAAGAGGTCTATTAACTGTAAGAAGGTAGAGAGCATGTTTGTTAGCAAAAGAAACAGTGTAAGTTGCAAACTATCTATTGAAAACATCAAGATCAAACAGGTGCAACAAATTAACAATCTGGTTAGTGTAGAAGCAGATGTGAATGGTGACAGAGAAATTCAAAGTTGAATAGGAATAGCAAAATATGACTCCCATGCACATACACTAAGTGTCTTATCTTGGTTGTCATGACACCATACATTTGTGCCTGTGGTAACTTTTCTGGCTGTGTCTCTGTGGGTTGTGGTGCTATTCACAGTTGGTCATATTGCCTAGTGAATTGTGTTGTGATTCCTGGCAAGGAGAAAATATTTATTTTCTTCCATTCTTGCTGAGCTCTGATGTTCATTTGCTCTAGATACTGGGTAAATAATGTCTTTGTAGGAATAGATGACTCGATGAGTGGAATTATCTTCAATGATAAAGATTTATTGAAAAGAACAAAAATTGTTTGGTGGAGTTACGTTATTTCAACAGAGGCTGTAGGTATGGGAAGTTAAAGAAAAAAGGTGTTCATTCTTGCCTTTCTTCAATTTAGTTGTCCTAGAAAAATTTGTTGAAGCAAAGTTACTTTTCAGGTGTGCTTGATGCGACAAGCTAATTGACACAGCTGGCAGCCAGAAATGGGCTCAAATTGAACTCTCTCTGCATTAGAATGACTCTTATTTATAGTGTGACCAGAGGTGATGAAAGTGGTCCAGGGCCAGATAAATTTCTTTGTCTGTCATGAATATGAACAGATTGGAGAAGAGTATAACCTCAAACAGTGAAAATAAGTTAAAATTCCTCTGTCAGAATTTCAGTCTAGCCCCATGTGATATGACTCACTCGCATCTGAATTCAGGCATCGCCTTTTCTGACCCTTTTACTTGGGATTCTTAGTTTCAAATCCTCACAGTTCCAATTTTTAAATTTATTATTTTCCAAGCTGATTTTTCAATCTTCACTTCTTTCCAAAATTATATGTTTAATTTAATGTCACCCTCTCTTTTTCCTCCTTCATTCTCTCTTTTATACATGCTTTTAACCCTGCTACTTCATGTTTTAATAAAATTGCTTTCCTAAGATGATTACATTGTCACACTTCCAGAAACTAAGAAAAGTATTAAGAGGTAGAAATATATCCTTAAAAACAGAAGGGTACTGAATTACTATGTAATATCTATATAGTGCAGTGAATGTTGGACAATCTCTTTACAGATGTAGACTTGAAGTGACAGATGTGGTAACAAGGACATTTTTATGAAAAATAGGAACTAAGAGGAAAGACTTTTGAGACTTGCAGTGCATATTGAGGTCAAAAGAAACTGGGATATAAAAGTGAAAAACCTACTTGAAAAATTTAAGTGAATAGATGGTTAAATGAAGAAAAAGATTAGTAGTACAAGGACCAATATTTACTTAGAGCAAGAAAAGATCGGAAGATGTGAAGAATCTTGATCATCCATGTTCTGAAAGGATATATGAAAGTAGATTAAGAGATATGTTTATATAAGTTGCTTCTCTAGCGTTGTTAAATTTTCCTTTACATTTCAGATATCTGACAGTTTGGTTACAAATTATCCAGATGTTTTGCAAAATAGTTACTTTGTTCAATTTGCCACACTGCGTAATGCACTTTACATGACAAGTTTTGTGTGTGTCCTTGGAGGCGCTTCATTCCTTGCCACTGCCATTTTTGTGGAAAAAGATAAAGCAAGAGTGGATAATTTAGTTAGAGGTAAGTTATATTTTAATTATTTATAACTTATTTTTTCATCATTTACTTGATTTATATTTTTCTGTATTTTACAACTTTTTTTCTTTCTAGCTGCTGCAAAGTTTTTAGTTTTAATTATGTTCAGGTGTTATTAGATTTAGATCAAAGTGAATTTATTGACTTATTGAAACTTGTGTTTTTGTTCTGCTGACAAATGAAAATGGACATTGACAATTAAGACGATATTATGTCTTTGTGCTCTCCTCTTGTCCTTTATCTGTCTCTTCTCTCTTATTTCTTTTAATCTTCATTGTTTGGTCATATTTTTTCTGAATGTTATACAAACATAGATTAGTTACGTATTCTAAAAAAAAAAAAAGGCAGAATGCACAAATATTTTCTGCTGCATCCTTTTTTATTTTTATTTTGCTCTCTCTCCCCATTATACTTCTCCATCTCTATGTATCACTCAATCTTTTATTCATTGTCTGTTAGTACCCAGCCAGCAAGCTTGCTTCTTTTTTTTTTTTTTTTTTTTTTCTTTCTTCTCCATCTCTTCCCATTCCTGTCTTTTCTCTCATCTCTCTCTCTCTCTCTATAATATATATATAAGTAGCAAGAGTTTATCCGAACAAGTTTTATTAAATTCCACAGGCAAAATCTGTCTATTCAATTTAGCCAAATAGGCCTTACTTGCCATACTATTAACACCCAGTTTTTGAAAATGACTGTGATAGTTGAAAGTACTTGAAATTAACAGAAAGAAAGCATGAAATTTGAAAGATATAATAAAAAAATTGAAAAGCCATACCTTGTCAGTGGAATTTAATAAAAAAATTTTTGAGATATATTGCTTTATCGGGTTTTTCTTTTCCTTTTTCTCCTGCTTTCTTATGTCCTATTTTTAATTCTACACTTCCTCTTTTCCCTATCTTCCCTCATCAGTTGCTTACACATCAATTTATGTAGATTTTCTAAGTTAGAAAGCATAACTAATTTCAGCTCAGAAGGCATTGGACAGATACTACACTCTGATCCTAGGTAGAACAGTGTAATGGTTGTAGATACAAATAAGCAGGATGATAGTACCAATAATATTGCAGGTGTTTGCGAGACTATTTGGTTCATATCTCAGTTTTATGCCTGTTTACCTTGAAAATATAATTAGTTTTTAAAAAGGAAAATGAAATTAAATAAACTTAATCTGTTTTAATCTATCAAGTCATGTCATTTCAATAATATTAAATGAAAAAAAAAATTGATTTAAAGGGAAATAACGAGAAAGTAAATTATATTAAAGGAATCCAGAATTTAAAAACAAAAAATACATCCCATAGTATAGTAGATGCTTTTTCTCTAGTATCATTGATTGAAACAGAATCTAACAAAGAAAACCTCTTGTTAGTTATGCTGTTGATAAAATGTTTCCAAATTGATTGCAATATTTTTGGCATGTATCATTTACTTTGATTACTGTATTTCTTGGCCATCATCATCAGTTGAAAGTTTATCAAAATAATCTATCAATTAGCTTTGGAAAGTTTGTGAAGACCATGAACATATAATCACTCAGACTGTATACTCATTCTCACCCTAAATTTGTCACTTTTAAGTGGTGCTATAGAATTTCTTTTTAATCTCTACTATGATACCAAAGTTTGAATACCACAGACAAACAGAAAATCCCAGTTTTTACATGGATAACTGCAAGGCCTCAAGTAATGTAATCCATATAAGGGTGACCTAGGAGGTCAGTAAAAGTTATTATTGAATAAAAACTGACATTAGCAACTAAATTAAGCATAGTATCAACTCTACATTCAAGTACCAAAAATAATAGCTTACATTCGAGATCATCACTTGCAACCTCTGAGGATAGAACTAACTTCATTCACCCTTACCATCTTCCATATCGGAGAGCGTTATTGTATTTTCTCTAACACCAATTTCCCAGAAATAATTGCTCTTGGTACTTTCATTTGTTTCTAGTGTCATTGAAATAGAAAAAGATTAAACCTGCTTTTAAACAAGTTGTACCATTTGCTGATTAGAATACAGTTATGCACAGTGGTGCTGCCTATTGGCATCTTCTGGGTATAACAGAAAATGGTGTGCAGAAACCTGTAAAAAAAAAAAAATCAACAGATGGTGCTATGTTACAAAGTGTTTTGTCAAAAGTTCTTTTTGTTTCATAAAACTTTTTAAAGGATTTTTGAGATGCACTTGAATAATTATTTTTACCCTAAAGACCCTTAGAGTACTTGCATGTTCTGCCACAGAATCTTCAAGAGAGTTTCACAAGCAGGAATTAAAAACAACTTTTATAAGCATTAACCTTCAGTTTGGGATTGGTAACTCCTGTGAAATGACTATAGTGAATAAAAAAGCAAAATTAACTACCTTGTAAATTGTGATAGGTAGAAATCATGCTTGACAAATTTATCAGGGCCAAATGATAATGTCCGGTGAATAGCAAGAGGCAAGGAATTGTTAACAGCAGGAATATGAGGTAACGTCTGGAAACTATATACCATAATGCTGCAGCCTGATCAGTGTCAGAAAATACAACAAGCTAACTTTACATGAATGACAGCAGCAAGACAAGTAGCATCTCTTAATGTTAGACAAGACAACAGATTAATGGCAGCTGTCAGGTTAGCAGACATCTCACCAGAGGAAAACAAGACAGCAAGAAAACCTTGAATGGCTTGACAAAAGACAGAGGAACAACACCATGCCCATCTCCATTCACTTTCAAAAAGTTGAAAAGAGATAGCATTAAAGTATGATCCTAAATGAATTGAGTGTTCAATGACAAAAGGTTTTGAAAAAAAAATGTAGTGTCCAAAAATGGGAGAAACACACACCTGTGATGTAGAGGTGACAAGATCAAGGTAACCATTTATGGTCAATATTTAATGTTCAGGGATAGGTTTGTCACATTATTAGTGAAATGGAGCTTCAAGAACAAGTTCCAATTTTTTTTTTTTTTTTTTTATAAATCTGTTTTTTGGGCAAATGCTTGCAAGCAAGATAGGTAAAATCGCCAGAACTTCAACAGTCTCAACTGTTATGAGGCCCCATTTTGTCCTACTTCTTTACGCTTATACTATAAAATACAAAATCTAACTTAAAATGATGACTTAAATCTGTAGCTAGTAGATGCCCTTTTTACCACACGAAAAGCTCCCATTCACCAAACCCTATAGATTTCGTAATAATAAAATGGAACTTTCTAGAAGTCTCTAGAAACTTCTACTGGGTTCTAGAGGGTACAAAAAAAACATAAACAGGAGTTCGTACCAACTAGCCAGTTGCCTCCTGAAACCACAGCCACAACTATTGAGGTCAACTTGATTCAAGAACAAAGCTTTGACCAAAAAGAATCTAAGTTTCTACAGTCCTCAAAAAGAAAAGACTATCGGTAAATACTTCACCCCTTTTCTTGATATTATTGACCAAACTCTTTTATTTTATATGTATGTGAATTAATCAAACTATTTTTAAGAAGAAAATAATATAATTCTTTGACTAGCAATGAATTCCTATCTGTCACCTTAATCTTAACTACAGTGGATTTTTTCTCCCATTCCCTTGTTAAACCAACTACTTTCTGGGCTCTCGCATATTTAGTAACTTTTTAGCATTTCCTAACTTATATTGTTTAAACCTCATTGTTTAAAATATATTGTTCCTATTGTTCTAAAGTATATTATATGTAAAATAAAATCTGCATTTCCTTATTAGATGTAATCTTTTTTCTTCAACCTTAATTTCTACAAATCTGGTTCTTCTTATTTTGTGTTGCGCCAGCTGTAACAAAACTCAGAAATAGTTTTGGATTTGCACAAATTTTTCCCGAAAAGAACATCATGATGAAACATTTTAAATCTTGTTTGGAATGCACCTGGAAGAGATCACAAAATTGTTATTCAAAGAAATGTCCAGCAGGAGAACATAAGCACTGCTACAAATAAGGTGGCAGTATTTATTTTATTTTTTTTTAATTAGGGAACCATATAATAATTGTGACATAGTGATACATGGTAGAGAATGACTTCATTGGATTTCAGAATACCACTATGATACATTTCAAGACCCTTGGAAAAACCAAGATATCTAGTGCACAGATGAGAATAAATGCATCTCTTCTACAGCATTTTATATCTTTTAACATTTAGGCAAGGATGCACAAATTATCATTATTACAGAGACTGCATACACTAGTTTATTGTTGACATGTAAGCAAAATTTGAAAGTGATAAGTTGAACTACTTTTAACCATGTTTTGGTTGGAAAATGAACAAAGAGTTTATGCTATTTAAGTATTATTTAGAAAATAGCATTGGAGCATCCAAAGCTGACAACCATCTTCAATTTTTGTCAGATGAATCTTTTGGGGGTTTTTTGGTGGGGGGATGCTAGGACTTTTTCTATAATGAACTTCCACAGTATGCTATATTTTCCAATATAATCAAAGGACAAAAGGGCCTTATTACCCAGACATTCACAAATCAAATTCCTTTCTCAAGTATAATTTTGAATGTTATTTCTATCTTTGTATAATGTTAGATAACCTTTCTTTGGAGGATGTTGGGACTATGGATGTACACTTGTGCCACTTACAAAGAAGCATGTCAACTATAAGGTTTTCTTGAAATTGGAACACATTATGATCAAACTTGAAGAGGGGTAGTAGTCTCAACTTCACCTGTTGAAGTCGAAAATCTCTTTGCAATAATGCTTGTATCATGTGGATTGCCTAATCCAAAGAATTTTTAAAAAAAAGATTTGACTATAAAAACGTTTTTCAAAGGCTCAATAGCAACATTGAGGAACATTGAACACAGTGAATCTGTTTTCAACTTTCATATTAAGCAAACACTCTTCTCTTGGATGAAACAAGCTTTAGATTTGGAGTCAACAGAACCAATTGTCTTGTGAGATGTTAACCAAAATTTTACACAACATCCAACAACCTCAGGCACTAATCAAGGAGAATGAACCAAAGGTTAAATTTGATGGAAGATGTATTAATAATCAATTTTTAGTGTTCACTCAACCTTGTCTCCATAGCAAAAATTTTTTTTTTTTTTGATGCTCTTGATTGTACTGAGAAACTTATCAGTCTCCTATCAAAAGTAAAAACATTTGTGTTATAGCTTCCTCTGATTATTGTAAAATCATTAAAATGGCTAACTTTTAAGCTTTCATTAAATCTCACTCATACTGATCAACCAGTTTGTAACATATCAGTCATTTGTGACTGGAATAATGTTGGGTCATTTTAAACTCATTGTATGGAATGAGTAATATGTCCCATAAAAATACACTAGAGGTTTTGTAAGACATTAAAAACAGGTAAAAAACAACATAAGAGATATTGCATTTATAACTGGGGATTTTTTGACAAGCATTACCTGTTCTTCTTCAAGGCAGCAAAACAGATGAACTCAGTGTGTTCTTGAAAGTCTCAAAGCTACACTTGAGCAATGATATGAAAGTTATGCTTCTAAGATTCTGGGTCTTTGTTGGATGTGTGAGTAGTGTGATGGATAATGGCCCAGAATAAGAAATCTGAGATTCAAGTTTGAATTCCAGTCAAGTTTGTTACAATCACTTATGTGCAAATACTCTTGGAAAAGGTATGAATCTATCTATTTTCTTCTCAGCTATGATTAAGGACTTGTATCTGGAAAAAAATCATTATTTCTCCCAAACATTTTAATGTAACATTAACTTCCAAAAAAAAAAAAAAAAAGAAAAAAAATTTCTTACATGAATATATGTTTTGGCCTTAAGGGTTGATAATCTATAAAAACACAAATCAATCCATGAATGCTGGAGTATTTGAGAATTTTTTTTTTTCCAATTGGAAATAGGAATATTTTCCAGAATGCAAATGGTCTAAGCATCATACTACCTGGAACATTGTAAGAAACAGCAAATTACCTTTACAGACAAGTCGGTTTCAGAAATTTGTCTTCTTTCTGTGAAAGAGCACTCTTAGCTCCAAAAATGATTTCAGTCACAGGTTTTAACTACCATTTAGTTGGTTCAGTAAAAAAAAAAAAAATGATTATGAGGCTGTTCAATATTCAGTTGAGTTTTCAAACTCACTTCTACCATCTGGTGACCTGACACATAATTTTCTGAAACCGTGTACTTGAATAATTCTATTACAAAACTTTGATACACCAAAGCTCTGCAACAATTATGCTGATACTCAAGAAGCTGATGCCCATTGCAATTGTAATCATATTGGCAAGAAACATTTGTGGATGAGATATCTCCATTCTGAGGAATCCAATCATTCCTTCTGAATTTCAGTTTCAATATAAAAATATTAATCAATTCCTTGTCAGATCAACTTTATGATATCAATTAACAAAGCACAACATCAGTTCCTTAATGTATTAAGATTGAATCTACAAGACATGTTTCTCACTTGACCAATTCTATATTGGATATTCCCATTTAAGCACTGAGAATGATGAATTTATTATCTCACAAAATAAAACAATATTGTGTAAAAAGAAGTTCTAAGAAATTAGTATCAAGTTTTCTGTAATTCTAAATAAGCTTTTTTTTGTATTTCTATGAGTTCTCAAACCTGAAATCCATCTTCCTATGTTCAGCATTTGATTTTAGTGTACTGCTGCTCTTCCAACTCACTGAATCTCAAAAAAACTTCTCCAAAAATGTAATTTTTTTGTACAGGTCAATTTGCTGCCAACAAAAAGTAAAAGGAAGAAAATAGGGAGATTAAAATTCTCTACCAGCCTTAAAGGGTCCTCTGTCATGTTATTTCAGGACATAGGTGATCAAGGCTCTCCATAACTTCTTGATTTTTGTAATTCTAAGTTTTGACTCTTTACCATCCCTCTTTTATCTTGCTTATGGCCACATTACATTGAAACACCAGTTCCTGTACAATCGCAAAAGTTAAGCAACATCAAGCCTGGTCAGTAACTAGATGGGTGACCATTTGGGAATACCAGGTGCTGTAAGCTTGGATGTGTGGTTAGTGTAATGGATAATGATTTGGAATTGCTAATTGGAGAGCTGTGTTCTAATTCCAATTGGGTTTGTTATATTCAATTATGCACAAATACCTTTGGGATAGATATGAATCCTCCTTTTCTCCTCTCAGCTATGAACTAATTAGTAAGACCATCAAAAACCATTATATCCCACCCCCCAACAAATAAAATTGTGATTTAGATTTTGGTATTAAGTAACTCATATAAGTGGACATATTACTAAACAAAAACAGCCAACAACCAATCTTCTTTCCTTCTTCAATCATCCATTCACTCAAACCCATTAAGTAGTTTACTCACTGTACCATCTTGCTTTTGTTGCCTTCAATAGGTCCTATGAGTTAAATTCTTCAAACCTTCTTTTCTCATTATGTGCTCAAGAAATGGATGCTGTTTCTTTGAGTGTTAGCAGCAGTTTCCTTGTAGTTCCTAGTTTCCATAAAACTTTCTTGTGGCTCACATGTTCCATCCATAGTATTCTCAGCATTCATTGGTAGAATTATAACTTTGTTGCTTTAAGGCACTTCTTAATCTGTGTGGATATTTTCCAGTATTCTCTGGCATATATCAGGTCATCCCATAAGTTCTGTCCGAATTTTGAATAAAGAAAACAAGTGACCAAATGTTACATTTAATTACAGATTCAATCAACAATGTATTTTCCCTGATTATCTATGACTTCCTTCCATCTACTAACAAGCTTACTAATTCTATTACTGTAAAATTCTTTTGGCTTTGATTCGAAGAACTCACAAATGTCAGTTTTAACCTCTTCCTGTATTACAAAAGCTGTTTCTTCCAAATGATTCTGTAAGCTACAAAACAAATGATAGTCTGAAGGAGCAAGATCAGGAGAATAAGGTGGATGAGGAATTTTCTCCCAACCAAGTTCTTCGATCTTTTGTGACGTGATTCTTGCTGTGTGGGGTCGTGCATTGTCCTGATGAAACATCACCTCTTTTCGATTCACTAGAGCTGGTCTTTTTTTCCTCAAAGCTTGGTTCAAACACTCTAGTTGCTGACAGTATATTTGAGCATTAATTGTTGCATTAGGTGGTAAGAATTCAAAGTGGATTATTCCTTGGCGATCCCACCAGATTGAAAGAAGAACCTTTTGCCCATGAAGTTCCCTTCTCGGCTGTGGCTAGGGTCTTTCCCCTTTACAAAGCTACTGTCTACGATGCTTAACATTTCAATAAAAGATCCATTTTTCGTCACCAGTCACAAGTCTATCCAAGAAAGGTGAAACAAGTTGGCGAGAATGGAGAGAAGAGCAGATGTCAACTCGGGATTTGAGGTTGTTTTCAGACAATTCATGAGGCACCCATTTTCCAAGTTTAATGTTCAGCTCCATTAGACATTATAAAATACTCTTTAAATTTCATTCATTTTAACAAAAAGTTAAAATTCAGACAGAACTTATGGGATGACCTGATAGTAGGTCAGATATTGCATAGCAGTTTAGAATGCTTTTCTTTGTTTCTAAGGATTATTCTCAGTTTCTGCAAGGCATCTTTCACAATTCTTTTGTGTCCTTGAAGTCTTAAAGCATAGAGATCATATAAATTGCATAATCAATAAATTAATTTGGATGTCTCATTCTAGTTGAAAAATTGTGGAGAAAAATAAGCATGGAAATATGTGCAGTTGTTGGTAATTATAAGGTTTTTGTTTCAGTACAGTCTAAAGGAATCTCAAAATACCAAGTTATATTTGGTTCTTTTAAGAACTCATACTTGATTTAATATGAGAACATATTGATCAAACTAGTGAGAAACAAACTTATTGTGTTGGCAGAGACAAACTTATTACATTGGTAAAGATAAACTTCTTTTATTAGTGCAAATAAACATTTTGGTAGAGATAAACTTATTGGTATTGTATTGGTACAGATAAACTTGTGAATATCTTTTTTAATAATGAAATTACTTCCAACAAGAATGCCTGAAATAGAGATATTTCTCATTTTTAAATTAAAAATCTGATTGTTACTTTAGTTTTGGGATTTAAAAGTTGCATTTCTAAAAAAACTAAGAAAATATTTCTTCCACAATCTAAACCTGTGTATGAAGTCATTTGTTGCTTAGCATGGTGTTCATTAACAAAAGTCAGTGTCATTTTTGTTAATCAGGCAGTGGTGGTGATGATGATGAGATAGATGTCTTCTGCAGCCCTTCTAGGGTTAGCCAAGGCTATGCTTATGGAGCTTGTGGTCACTTAGGGCCACATCCACTACAACCCTGCGGTGAGTTAGCAGCTTACCGTTTATGCCACAGTTGTTACTAACAATAATGCATGGATTACAGCCCTTGTGTGAATATCATCTTGCTCTCAAAGAGTTTTTTTTTACTTTTTTTTTTTTTGTAAAGTAGTTTAAATAATTTTATCATCCCAATTAGTTAATTTTGAATTTGATTGTAATGATTTCAAGCCTGTCTGTTAAAAGCATAAAAATTTGCAATAGTACAGATTATTAGTCTGAATGCAGGGAATTTTTATGCTTGTATAATTTAAGTATATTGTATTATATTATATTCCTGAACATAGTGAATTTCTGTTCCTATCATTTCATAGTAAAGATATAAAAAACAGAAATTTGTTTAAAAGCATCTAGAAATAATTCATATTTGAATTTTTTCTTTTTCAAATTGTTTATTTTATATCAATTATGTTGCCCATATATATTTAATTCCAATAAAATTTGTCACTTTTCTTTTGACGTGTTTTAAATGGTTAGTAAACTGTTTGACTTTTTTTCTAATCACATTTTTCAACACATTTCTAACAGGCCACTCATTTTAAACTTGATGATTTCAATATATTTTTTCTCTTTAGGAAAAATTAATTTTAATAAGAACTGAAAATAATTCTGTTTACCACATTGGCTATGGGTGATACTGTATAGTTTATTTTTGATATTTGAATTATGCTCAGAGTTGAGATTTTTTGCAAAGTATGTGCTTCTAAGAAAATTTGAAATAAGTTTTTATATGTCCCAAAATTTTTGTCCTGCTAAAAAGTAAATGTTTTCAAATCATATAATTTTTATAAGCCTGATATAGTTTTGTTATAAAGATTGCTTAATCTTTTATAAATTCACCTAATGTTAAATTTTGTCTGTGTCCACCAACCTTACATCAGTCAAACAAAACAGCCCAGCCAGTACCACTAACATATAAAAGATTTGCTCTTAGTCATGTATATAAGATTAATACAAATATAAAATTTGCCACTTAGCTAAGCCAGAGTTTCATTGACGAATATTTGTGCAATTGTTCAGTCCACTTGTCAGGAAGTATATACAAACACACACAAATGGCATTTACAACATAAGCAATAACATTTCATTTGCATAATAATTTTTAAAAGTAGATTTTAATAAATATTTCATCTGTTATTTTTTTTTTTTAATTCCATTGTGTTTGGATAGCAAGAATTTTATATCTGCCTTGTCAAAATTTGATCATAATCTATATCATTCATAATAATAATAAGCATTGTTGTCGCCTGATATTTCACATAGATACAATTTTGTTGAATGGGGCAAAAAAGTTTTATGGAATTCTTTAAATATGTTAAAATAACTTGATTAACTAGATTTTCTTAAAATTGCACTGAATTATTTAAATGGGTAAAAAATAAAAAACAATAAAAAATAGTTTGGTGAATTAATTTTTTTTATTTTTATTAATATAAACATTATAAAATTATTCAAATGTTTCTCATGGTCAGCTCTTTGTAGCCATGTCCAGAGTAGAAAATTCAAGTGGACTTAGCATAACATAAAGAACTTTAAAAAATAGATGTCTTGCTGAAAATGTTGTTTATACAGAAATTTTAGAGGCAATAGAAATTCTATAAGTTAGTTTTCTCTGTTCATAGGATAAGTATTCAACAAGTCATAAAAATACTAGCAGAAATACCAATTGTTTCCTGAGGAAAAATAACTCGAATCTGATAACACAGGAAAAATATGTTTAACATATTTCTGACATAACACAACAAATGAAAACAAAATATTTCCACATGAAACAAGTAATTGTGACTGAACAAATATGCTTATACACAAAACAAATTATGTATTTTCCAAGGCTTCTAGGTACACAAGTTGTATGGGGATTCAATCCTAGAATAACTGACATGGGAAAAGCATGGAGAAATCAGGTTGATGCTGGCAATCTTGAAAAATTGTTTTGAGGCCTTGTTGATGGTCATGGCAAAACAGTGCTTAACTGGGAAATGAAGCCTCTTAAATTCAAAGAACAAGTGTGTTAGAATTATAGGGATCTTGGGAATTAACACATTTTCTTTTTCCTACCCCAGTTGGGATAGTTGCCTTGATGACTTGTGGGAGAATCTGGTTGATAGCTAGACAAATTCCCTAGCATGAATTTGAAGGATGGTGATTTTGGAGAAGCATGATAGGCATTCCAACTTTTACTTGAAGGCTCTGAGAAGAAAAATCAGGGAGCTGAAGAAAGTTGAGGAATTTTTGGGGGGTTCTTTACAAGCTCTAAAGTGTCCAGAAATGTCAGTTGAATCTGTTATGGCAGCTTTTACTTTATTTCTTTGATTGCACCATTCTTTGGAACAAGAATACCTCACACATTGGTAGTTTCTGTAGTTTGGGGTCATTTTTAAAAAAAAAAAAAAAGTTTGATAATTAAAATTTTTATCTCTAGATGTTTTCAAGGTTGAATAATGTTTTACAAAACAAGAAGAAAAAAATCAAGTTTTTAGTCTTTCATTTGGCTGAAAAAGGCTATTTTAATCTAAAATTGACTTCTGGTGACATTTAGTGATCTTGCATTCCATTAAGACATTTGATTCAGATACAGTTGGTCAGAATTGTTGTTGGGCATTTTGAATTTATAAGATTTTATCATGACTTTCTATATTTTAAACTGAGTTAGATATTAATATTACAAGTTTTATCAATTGTCAATAGAAAAATTACTCTGCTACAGTGCTTCTAGTGTAAAATCTTCCAATATCAGCTTTAAAAAAAAATATAACCCTAACCAATTGATCAAACCATCTTCTTTTTTGACTTCAGGTTAATTTAGTCACAGAAGTAACTGCAGAAAAATTTTTTATTTACCGAATTTATTGCTATTTTTATAATAAATGTAAAACAATCATAACTTAGTTTATTTGTAAAGTTTTATCTTTTAAGTATTTATGTAATAAAATGCTTCTTTACTTACCCATGAGCATGTTTTAGCAGATGAATAAGCACAGCATTCTCTTTGTACATTTGTAATCTATTTGATAAAATAGCCATTTTAGATTTTATGTGCATCTTGTATTGCATGTTTTACTTTATTTTTAAGTAATGATTTGAATATTGCAGAAATATTTTAAAAAGTTTCAATATTTATGAATATTTGATGGCATGTAAGATTCTACAAGTCTACAGTATCTGGGTAAACATTAACCAGTTACCTCAACTTTTCATATAAGATGCAGTTTTCTTGTATATATTTAAGTTATGCTATATTTATATGTAAATTACTAGGTCAGTGATAGTGTATGTAAATATAAAGGTCAACACTGAGTGGTGACAGTATTTTGTGCTTGAATGCAATCTTTAAGCCATCTGAAGTGTTGACCTCAATGTGCACATTTTCACTTTTACACACACACACACTGTAGAAAACCAAAGTAGGTCTTATGCTATTAAATATGGTAAACACTGTATTAATTTATGTAAACTTAAGTTTGTATATTTATAATATATTTTCTGCACTATAAAAATGCATCATGAGTGAATGTACTGCATCTTTTGATTAAAAAGTTAGTGATATACATGCCATTGAGTATGAGGTTGATCATATCAAAATAAATCTAAAGATTGGATAAGTCTTTCACACCTCCATTCATTTGCAGAATCTGAACAACTATGTAATATCAATAGCTACTCCAGTAATTTTTTTTTTTTAAATCTGAAAAAAGTAGTTAGTCATTTTGCAATTGTATAAAACATTGGAACTAATCATACAATATATTTCTTCTCACCATTAAAGTATGCAACCTAAGATTTTCTGTAAGAACTTCCGGAAATGCTTGTGCCTTGAACCCAAATGACTTTATATTATAGTGAAGAACTTAATCTAGAAATGAACAATCCTTTAAGACTTCACCCAAATAAAACCATTTACAGTCTGTACAATTATTTCTTGCTTTCATATTGCAATTGTCAAAATAGAATGATAGGTATATGCATTATGGCCAAAATAAAAATGCTTTTAGATGATCTTGTAATGCAATTAGTGTTTGTGTTGTAATAAATGGTTGTTATGCATGATTTAGTTATTAGTATTCTTTTGCCATTTATTTTTTGTTACTAATTAAATACTACATTCATGATACAGTAAAACTCAAAAGAATACATAATGAATCAGAAGAAACTTATGTCAGGTCAATTTATATGTAATATTTGAAATTAGGGTTAAAAGAAAAAATCATGTTTAATTAGTATTTCTTCATTAACTTAGGTTTCATCATTAACTATAAAGATCTTTCAATAATTCACAAACTTTTTAATATCGTCTTTGTAAAAAAAATATATTGTTTTGAGGAAAAGACTGTTGAAAGGATTGTTTCTACGTATGTGTTTTAAGAAGTTAATTAAGATGGTTCACTAAACTCTAGAACAGATGAAACAAAATCTGGAGCATAAAGAGGGTGTGGATTTTTTCTCAGCTGAGGTCTTCATTTGTTTAAGATATAATCTTTGCTGTTTGAATTCATGCATTATCATAAAATATCAGTTTAATCACTAACTGCTAAAAACAGATATCTGATGTAATCATAACATTAATTGGTAGCAACTTTAAACTGATTATACCAATGCAAACTCACTAAACACTTACCAAGCCTTTTCTTGAATGGGAAGGCATTTTGGGTTTTGCTTTAACTGTTTGCCTTCACTAAGCAATTGTCTGCATTGCTTTATTCTCTTGTAAAATATCCATTTTTCATTACCATTAATCACTAATCTACCAAAATGGCAAGATGCATTTAGAAAAATGGAGTTGTTCAGATTTTCACTCTTATTTTACATTTGGCTTCTGTCAAATTGTGGGAATCTATTTTCCATGGTTAAACACCTTTCTAAGCTGTGGCAAATGGCAAACAATTAAGTTTTTTAATTAATTCTTTAACCATGAAAGCATTATTTCAATTGAGTTCAAACAGCACATTGATAGGACAACCTGTTTATTATATCTCTCTTAAGCATAATAATCTTTTCTAAACCTTTCAAGCCATTTTTATCAATCTGGACAATACTTCTGGGATAATAGCTGACAGCAGTTTTGTCTCTTTTAAATTCTTAAAACTACCACAAACATTTCCTAATCTTTGCTTTTGAGTGAAAATATTGTTGATATTTCCTTGCCTTTTAAACATTCCTCTGCATCTGACCTTTTTACTAAACTATACAAAAAAAACTTCAGTTTTTTAAAAATTGTCTCTTTCTCTTTAAGTTCTCCATTTCGTCAATGATTTGCATTCACCTTTATTATATTTAATGAGTTTTATTTTATGCTTTATATGCAAAACAAACTCTAAGACTAGGTGCTACAAAACAAAATTTAAAATGAAAAATGTTTGATAAAGATAAGAATTTATAAGAAGCTACATTAATGGAAGTACACAATTGAAAGAAAATTAAGGTTGAACTAGAATCATTTTCATGAGGCTCATTTGACAAACAGAAACTAAATAATTTTAGCATTTACATTTTAATGGCTCCCATCAAAAACATGTGAGAATAAAATCATTTTGTGCTTAATCTGTTATTGTCACCTGATAAATAAATATGTGCTCCCTAAGAAAAAAAAAAGAATGAATGTTAATAGAACTCCAGCTGAGTGAAAAACATGAAAATGTCAAGAATATATTTTGCTTTTCTTGTAAAATAGACAATTTATTTCTACACCTTTGTAAGAATAAATTTATATAAAATTCTCTTTTATTTCCATCAAATTTACTATGACTACTTTTAATTCTTTCAACTACTTTTTCTTCAAAAATTTATCCTTATCAATGGGAAAACATTTTCCTGCCATCTTTCAATTATAATTCATTGATAGCTTCATGAAAATTACTTTTTTAAAAACATTTGACAGTTTTGTCATTCAAAAATCCCTTTTTGCAGCTTTACCAGGCAGTGTTTTTATATTCTGTATTTTTAATTGAACAAGAATTTAGCATTTTGCAATATCTCAGTTTACATTCACACAATATTTTTTTAACTTAAATTTAATTGATATCGTATATTTAATTTTTATGATTTTCAAAAAACTTTTGTCATTGATGCATTTCTATAATTGGGAATAATCAAAGCATTAATCTAATATTTTGCTGATATTCTTTGGACTTTGCATGAAATATTCTGCTTAAACCAATATTTTTTAATTGCTTTCATGCCAAGCTTTTTATGTATGCTGCCTTTCTTAACATATTTTTTCTAAAGACCATTATAAATACCTTTGTGATTGTCTCTTAGGATACTTCATAGCATTCATGATCTCACATGGAAATTACATTCATATTTTGTATAATAATGGCTAGTTTTATAAAAAGAGCTACTTAAACTCATTTAGAATTTTAATAATGCCAGTGAAATGGCAATGTGGTTTGTTAAAATAAACAGCAACATAATTTTAAAATGGTCAATATTGGAATTTATAAATTTTACAGGCACACGTGTACTACTTGTCAGGGTATTGGAAGTTTCATACTCTCTTGCAGGTTGGGGAAATATGAAATGAAAAATATTTACCACTGCTGCTGATGGTGTCTTATATATTACACACCCAGCTACAAAGATAACATTCTCTTAACAACATTTTGTAAATTAATAAATGAAATTGTTCTTTTTCCAAACAGCAATTCTGTAGTACAAAACTTGTGATATTTTTTTTTTATCTGCAGTTTCTCTGAATCTCTGATGAAATAGAAACTGTCAAATTCTTTCATTTTATCCTTACAGTAACTTATTAAACACTGGTTTTAGGATAAATAACTAATTACTTATATTAAAATTTGTAATTAAAATTGAAAAGTCTGTTGCCAATGGCACCAGCCCATTAGTTTACACTAGATGTGATCACAAGGTTCAACCTCCTGATAGACTTTCATATTGAAAGGACAATTAAAAAAAAAAAAAAAAAAATGGGGGATGTGGAGTAATCCACAGTGACCTCCCTTGTCAAGAGATTGGATCTGCCCTTCACTATAAAAACAGAGCATCTATGAAGGAGGGAATTTAAATTCTATGCATTAACTAGTTTTGACATCAAACCAGACAGTCAAAGACTTCATCCTCTCTTCTTTCACCCTCCTGTAATTTAATACACTTAAATTATGCAACAGCATCCAGAAACTTTTGTCAAGGTAAATCCAGCTGTGCAATGCCCTGGTGGTACAAAATCAAGTGTCTTGGATGCAAAGATGTCTGTGAGTGCCTGCTGTAAGTCTTCCTAATTTGTGAAGGATTTCCCACAAGTGTTTTTCCAGGGAATGGAAGAGGCAGTAATCTGTTGGCACAAAGTCTGGGGAATAAGGTGCATGGCACAGTAACTCCAAGCTAAGTCGCCATATGGAATATCTAACCACCCATGCCACAAGAGACCTAGCATTGTCATGGAGGAACAGTACACCTTTACAGCTTTACTCCCCCCCCACCACCACCACTTTCCCCCAACATGTGATGCACTCATTTGCATATCAGTGATCTTTATTCCCACATGACATAAAAAACAGCAAGGACTTTTTTGGTTACCTTATATAAATGTTTTGTCAAGAGAAACTATTTTAATAAACTATAGAGTTTTGGGTTACTTTTCAGCTATTACCATTTTCAGGAAATATATTTGGCATCAAATAGCAATAAGATTTTTTACTGTCAATGAATCCTTATTTGAGGAGAAAAATAAAATTTAAAAAGAATTAACAAAAACTGTTAAAAACCCTGTAGAAAATAACCTTATTTTGTGATTTTTTGGCAACATCAACATCAAATGGATGACTACTGGAAAGGATGCAAATATTTAATTGTATTTACTGTTTAGAAATTTAATCAGGAAAGATGCCTGAAAAAATTAATAGTCACAGGATATAATTGAAGGTAAGAAAAACAAGTGGAAACATGTAACTGAACTAATAAGTTTTTGTATGGATGACAGGATAAGAAAAAAAGAAGAATGGTATAGTTAAATATTATTTAGAACAACAAAAAGTAGGAAGTTTTGGAAAGCCATGATTTACCAAATCCTGAAGAGACACAACTCCTAAAAGAAGATTTGGTTTTTATTTAATTAGTTCTAAACTAGAGTAAAGTTGAAACCTTATTTATAACATTTATTGATATACCTATATAAGTCTGTAGCCTAATGATAAAAAGTATTAATAAATATTAATTTTTCAACATAATCCCCTTCCTTCCTTATCAATACACTTCTCCATTAATCATGCAGAATAAATGTTAAATTTGAGTGTTTGTGAATGGTAGTATAACTTTGAATGAAAAATAAAAATTCTTAAAATAACCACCTTGCAGGCAATACTAAATATTTTTTTGATTTGAAAATGGAAAATCAGAAACTTTTGAAAATTTAAAGCTGGAGATAAACAAAAACAAAAAATATGCAAACTAAACCTCCTTGTTTGTAAATTTTTATGGCTTTATCCAAAGAATATTTACCTTTTTTTTTCTTATAATTTAGATTATCTTTAAATTTTCAGTGCATTGCTATAGTTTAGAATAAGATGCCTTTGCAATTGTTGAGGATTCATTTTGTTAGATTCACTTTTTAGCAAGAAAAATTGAAAGACAAATCTCATTGTGAGAGAGTGTGAAAATGAATGAAAAAAAAAAAAAAAGGATTATTTTGAACTGTCACTTTTACAGTGAAACAAATTTCAATTATTAAAATTTTTTACCTGCACAAAAAATGAAAAATACATTCCTAATTCATCAGTGTGTGCATAAATATTTTAAATAATTATATAATTGAAAGAAGTGAATCTACACAGCAGCTAGTTTCAAGCTTAACTTTAGACATAAAATGAAATTGCTAATAAAATATTTTGTCTTTTTGCTTAAAAAGATTAAACTCTTCTATTATTAAAGCGGAAGATGGAAATAGATTACAAAAATATCAATTAGATGAAATAATTTACGGCTTTTATATAATGAATAAAGTTGGTATCCAAAGATAATCTAATTCGCAGCAAAAAAGAAAAGCATTTGACTTGGTTTGTAATCATCATTTTTTTTATTTATTTCATTTTTATTCATTTTATTTGTTATTATTAAAAAGAAAATAAATTTAAAATGTTTTTTAGCACTTGAAGAAAAATTATTCTTTAATGTTTTCTTTACTACATTTATTGCTTTTACATTTTAAGTTGTCAAAATATTTTCACGTTTAAAACATTTTACTATTAAATTTTTTTAGTTTTTACTTTATTTTTAAAGGTTTCTATTCATGATTTAGGAAATATTTAAGATGATTTTTTTTTTTTTTTTTTAGTATTTGTTTTTTTCAAATGTTTCTTAAGTGTCTACAAAAGTATCTAATTTTTATATGCTTTGTTCTCTTTTATTGCAGCTATTAACATATTATTTCAATTTGTTGTAATTTTGAATTATTACTCTAAAAAATTTCTGAAAACTTGTTCATGAACAATTTTTATTTTTTTTCAAAATTCTGTGTGGAAAATAAATTCATAAAACTAAAAAACAAGAAACAAAACATTGAATGCAAAATGATTTGTTTTTCTGTTTGGTCAATAGTTTCTTACATGTTCATTTATTATTTAATAGAATTTTTAAAATGTTTATTTATTGCTTGTGCACATGTCTGATGACAAAAATCTGTTCCTTAACTGCAGGTATTGAAGATGAAAGTGATGAGGAACCTTCACCCCCTGATGTGCTTTGATGGCATGAACCATCTGAAGCACCAGCTACCCTACTTCCTTACCCTAACACCTCTGCTTTGATTCCTGTTTGTCCGACCTTCATGCTTTTGCTTCTCTGCAAATTGGTGTCATTTGTCAAACAAGGCAGTACAAATTGTTTTAATTCGATCACCACTTGTACGAAGAGGTGGGAGGGAGAAAAGTCTACAAAATCATGAAGTCAAATCAAAACTTTTACACCAAGAATTATTTCTCATCTGAGCATTGTATTGTGAAATTATTTTTGGTATGATGAAAAGTATAAAATCCTTCACTGGAAACGGAAGTAAAATAATATTGAAAAATGATGAAAGATAAACATTTTTAAAACAAAACAAAATGTTTTAATTAAATTTTAAAATACAAAAATTGTCCCATTTTTATCCCTCTCCTTTTTTATGTATATTTTTTACCATATTTCATATACTTGTAAGAGGTCATACGATGCAAACACCAATGCATAAAACACATATAAAGCTGTCTCATCTAAAATTCAACTACATGGGGAGACACACATGCACAGTAATTTATATAATTATAAATCAGTTCAGATACTCATGTTCTTTTATTTATATTACATAAATATAAATAAAACTGCAGAGAAACACAATTCATATGAGTATATAACATTAAAATAAATTTAATTACATACAAATAAATTTTACACACACATACACACTAGTCATTGTTTATTTCAGACATTATTTCTCTTAAATTATGAAAATAGGCCTAAGTGCCTAATATATTTTCAGTGGTCATTAACTGAGATCAGTTCATTTATATACTAATAAAATATAAAATCCACAATGATGGATGATATACAGATACCTATGTATACTTAGAGGAAATAAGTGAATGTTATTGGCTTTGCTTGCTATACTCCCTGATGTTAGTATAAGTTTGAAAAAAAAAAAAAATGAGTATTTTTCCAAAACAAATTATACTCCTCCCACTCTCATAAAACTGGTACTTGAAATTTGTGTATGCAAACACTTGCAGGAATTCACAGAATACTGTTGTACATAATGTGGTTTGATTTTGTGAGTAAATATTTTGGGTGTTAGGGCTCCACATGTGTTGCAGGCCCACTAATGGATGGTGATACCCTCTATGGGAGGGGTAAATTAGAACTGAGAGGAAAGTGGTGATGTTGTAAAAGCTAGATTTTCCTTCAGTTGGACGAACTTCTGTACATATGTATTTAAATGAAAAATACTCGGTCACATATATTGGGAGTTAAAGTAACTCCCTATTTTTGTCATCAATTTCAAATTTAATTTATTGTATCCATAAGTCATCTTCATAATTTTTGTATAAATTAAAATGGTACTCTGTCCAAATGGCAATTTTAAAATTTATGAAAATGTAATTTTTAAGTAATCAATATTTAATAAACAAAAAAAAATGTAAATTTTGAAATTTCAATATTTATTTCCTTTCTCCAGAAAAGTTGTTCTGAAGATCTGAATAAATACAGAAAAATCTTTTAAAAATTATATTTATAGCTTTGAGAAGGGTTATTAATATTTCTAATTTTGTTTGGATGATTAAGCTCCTTTATGCTACCACAATATTTTGTCCAATTTTTTTTTTTAATGAAAGAAATAAGCCCCCTCCATCTTTTTTTTCTCATGAATTATCCACTTAATGAAACATGAAGGGATCAGTAAAAAATCCTTTTGTAACAACATTGAAAAAACTAAGGAGTTCCATTGTCTGAATAAAGTTTGGAATATTAAGAAAGCCATGTTTGTCAATCAGATATTACACGTTTTTCAGTAGATTTCTTCAAATTTTAAACTATTTAAATTTGAATTTCTTAATTTTGTATTAGATTTTGAAAATGCAGGGGCTATTTTTTCTTTAAATTGTATTTTTACATTCAGTTGCATATGTCTGTGCATAGAGAATTTCATTTCCCTGTTTAAATTGCAGTTGATATGTAATTGCTATTGTTTGCTCCCTGAATTGAAAATGACAGATGTTTTAATTGTACATTTTCAGCCATGCACTGTTTTGTATAAGCCCAGCTTAAGAATAATAAGAATATATATATATATATATATATATATATATATATATATATAATATTCATTTTAGTTCATTACACTCATTATAGACACTATTCTGTAGCTCACTTTAATGCTTCCATATATATATATATATATATATATATATATATATATATATGTTGAGTTGGAATCATATTTTTAAATAAATAATTATATATATATATATATATATATATATATATATATATATATATAAGGGTAATTTGTGTGAAGATATGAGGTTATGAGTAAACTTTAGTTAAAATGCTGCCAATATCATGGTTAAACTTGTGAATGCACCCAGAACTGAAAGGTATTATTAATGAAAGACTAAGCTACATTACAGAAAAAGTCTAAAGTTTATAAAGAAATTAATATATTTTTAGTGGCAAATGTATTTCCTTTAAAATTCTGTACTCTTGGTTTTCCACTTTTAATGAAAGTAAACAGTTTATATATTGACAGTAAAAAAAAATATCACACACACACTGTTTATATATATTTTTTTCTCTTTTTATATCTATACTATGTTTAAACATTTTAAATCCGTTAAAGTTTATATAATGCACATGATATATTTTTATGTTAAGAGCCCAGACATGCAAGTCTGGGAAAAAAATCCTTGAGATATAAAATTGTATATACTAAAATTATATGCATTTTTGCACATTCATGTGCATCTCGATTACATGGCTATACACATGTAGTTGTGTAATCGGTTATATATTAACAAATATACATGTTTTTTTCCTCTCATTTGTTTTTTGTTGCTTTAAGTCACATTGCAGGTTATTTCTTTATTTCTGATCCAGGCTTTTTTACTTAGCGTTCATAGGATGTAAAATAACATTAAGCTGAAAAGAAAGAATCCAATTAAAAATTAATAATAAAAATGCATTTATCTGCAAAATTCAGACAACTTAAAAATATATATCATTAAACAAAAAAGGTTCCGGTGACTGAAAGAAATACATGAAAAATACTCTGTATATTACAATATTGTAAATAATCTTAAAATTAAATGGGGACAACAAAACGAGCATAAAAATCACATGATACAACTCAATTCAAATATGCTTTTAATCTTTTTTTTTCATCACTGAAATCATATTGCTAACAATAATGTATATTTGTTATATATATATATATACACACACACACACACAAATTGGCAGCAGTAGCATGTGAATCTTGTGCTGTCTGTTGTGTTTAGCCCTTCTGCTCTCAACGCACAGTATATCACTCAAGAAATGAAAGTAAATGTTCATAAAAGAATACATTAAACTGTTTGGATTCATTGCCCTGTTTCTAAATCCAATTCCTTTTAGTATATACAGGTTTAGTTTTTCTCCTGTGTGTATATAAACACATGGATGAGGCCCAGAAAAACAACTATTATTGTACTTCTCTTTTTCTTGATATGCTATTGCCATTTTTTTTTTTTTTTTTTGTCACAAACATAAGTAGAACTTAGTGTTTTATTTAGGAGCATTTATTAACTTTTTATATACTAAGGATTAATCAATAATTCAATGCCCTACTTAATAAATGAATTCAAAGCATACATCTTATGATTTTTAATCACCCCTGGCTGTTCATTTATAATATATAAACATGAAAACACACACACATGCAATTATATAGAGTAACAGAATTATGTAATTGGTAACATGTTCATATCTCCGTATCTTTCACCAAAGCATGAATGATCAGGGCATAGATACTTAATGTTTACATGAAGTGTATGCATCTTGAAGATAACTTAGTAAATATCCTGATATTTTCTGCTTGGTACATTATGTGGATAATTGAAGCATATTTTTGGTCTAGTGTGTTATACACACTAATTTTTGAAAAAGTAGTAAAGAGAAAGAAAAAAAAATATCAAAATTTATTTATATTTAAATTTTTGTTAAAGTTTGCTTTCTAGTAGAAAATGATACTGAAAAAGTAACAAAATTAATGGAAATTTAACAATTTTTTTTTTTTTTTTTGAAAAATGGGAAATATATCACGAAAAATTATTTTTTTAAATAAAATATTTCAAAGCCAATGTTTTTTTTTTTTTTTTCACCCCCACAAAGAAATTTTAGATTCAAACATTTCTGATGATTTTTTTATTTGAAGATATGGAGTCTGTTTAAAAAAAAAATTCTTAAGTCTTTCATGTGAAAAAGAAACTCATCTGCTTTCCATTATTTTTATGTAAGAAAAGGAATTCCTGATATTGAAACAAGCAATTCTTTTATGGGAGCTATTCACAAATCTTACGTATTCTGAAATCTTTCACAATTTTCTGACCATCTGGAAAGGCCCATCTATTCATTGTACAGATATAATAAAAACAAAAAATTGAGTTGCTTTTGACATTCATGTTCATATAATTAAACTGTTCAATTCAATTTGGTCATCTTCTTGATTATTTCTAATTAATTTAATTCTTAATTATTTCATTGCCTTAGGCAATATTTAAATGTAGTCATATTGTAAGGAATATATTTTGTAACCTTTTGATAAGATACATAGATCAAATAAATACATCCATAAACAGGTAAATTCCCTCTGTTACTTGAATGACAAATTATTTCTGTTATTTCAAGTTAACAATAAAATGTATTAAAATTTCTGTAAAACTTTATCTGTAGTTTGTCTGTTCGGTTTCATAAAGTACAAAGTCATGCCTGCAAAAAAAAAAAAAAATAGTGTTAAAAGAATGTTTTTCTTCTTGACACTTGTTACTGTATACACCATCAGCAATTTTGTTTTAAAAAGCTATTTATAGAATTTTAATAAAACCCAAACATGAAACTGGATTTATACATCTCTCTTCTCAAATTAACAGCAAAATGTTAAACGTTATTTATTTGATTGTATATTTACATGGTTATACAAATAAATGAAGCAACTACAATGCAATGTTTATTATTTAT